AGATACAAATACCAAGAATACTTATATACCTACTTACATGCATATTTACTAAAATACTAATATACTAAATCAAAAACAACTAATAACAACTACGAACAACAACAACAACAACAACAACAAAGCACAACTCTTACTCTTCTCCATGCTTCAAGAAAGACAAAATGCTATCAAACAAAAACCAAAAAAAATATAAAAAATATCAAAAAAAAAAACAAACAAAACAAAACGAAACCTAACAAATTTCTATTAAGGACAAAGACTGCAAATAGAGATTTAAAAATATTAAAAATAAAAACAAAAAAAAAAACAAAAACAAAAATTATGAAATATATAAAATGAATAAATTAAATAAAATAAAAATGAAAAATTTTTTTTACCATTCTTTTGCTGCCTCGTTCATTTAAAGCCGCAACAAGCTTTTGCCAAAATAACATTTTTACATATATATATATATACATATTTTACTTTTACATTTGTTTTGCCTTGCATAACATGAACCTGGATATATGCGTAGGAATATATACATTCGTATGTTCATTTTGTATAACGAGTATTAGTGAAACATACAACTAGTTTAGCTTTAGTTAGCCGCGCAACAGCCATAGCAACAGCAATAAATGATACCAGCATTAAGCTTCATTACAGCCAGTAATACTTTAATACCAAGCAACAAAATACGAGAACAAAATGAAGAGCAAATAGTAATTTTTCTTTCTGTAAAGCTAATTCACGCATTTCCCTCAGCATACAAAATGATCCAAACTGCAAACTGAACAATAGATTCCAAAGCAATACCAAACTAAATACCAATAAAAATATAATAATTAATATTGAGCATTCAACTAACAGAGATATGCAAATACAGCAAACGTATAAACGAAGCAAAAACTATGAACAAAATACAAAAACAAAACAAAACAAAAAAAACAAAACAAAAAATGATTAAGAAACGGAAAAGAAAATTTAGTATTACGCATCATAAGATATTGTGACTACAATTAAAAAAAAAAAAAAGAAACCCAAGCATAAAACACTTAAACACAAAACAAAAAAGAAATGTTGTTAAGATTAAAAATGAAATGTTTTATAATCGTTATTCAATAAAAATAAATTTAAAAAAAAATACATCCAACATACGATAAATAACAAAATATATATATGTATAGAAAAGATAGAAAAACTATTGAAGCATCGAAGTGCCACGGCCCAAGCGAAGCTCATTCCAATTTGTAATTTAGTTAATCGCTAAGTATGTATTTGTTTTCTATGACTAATTAAGTAAATACGTGTAGTTATTGTCAGTAGATTCTTATAATAGTTGACATTGGTATGATTTCCTTGCCACATCGACTGCATGGGCTTTACAGTTGGGTTTACCGTGGTTAGTAAAGAGGCTCGAGAGCAGAGTTGGGCTCTCTCGCGTGGGCTTTTGCCAAAGCATTCAGTTCGATGGGCGCCCGGCTCTGCCTTGGCTGTTAGTCTTAAGCTGTCATTAAGTGTTTACTATTGTAGCATTGATCAATCAATCAATCAACCATCAATCAGCCAGTCAATCATGACAGTTGACTTAACATAAACGCCCATTGTACAAACTGCAAACTAGTTGCAATCATAGTCTAGATCAGTTCAGCCCTCCACCATTAAAAGTAGTGTTGAATATCGGAAGAAAGATATATATATATATATATATACGATATATGACATACGACATATGATGTATGATATATGATATATGATATATGACAAGTAGCTATCAATGAAAAAACCCCCCACCCTTGAACCCATCCATTGATGCGACACATGCTGCAATAACTGAATGTTGAGCTAAGATGCCACGCCCCGCTCCACAAATGGTGAGTGTGCCCACATGGTCGTTGTGTAAAGAAAAGAAAACAAACAAAAAGTGTGCCCAGCTGATGTCTTGTGACCGTTATTATCGTCGTTATCGTTATCGTAAAAATAGTTATCCTATTCGTAAACTTGAATTGGCTTTTGGTTCCCATCATACGCAATGCACTATGGAAACGCGCACTCAACTTTGATTTGAACGTCATGCGATGTATATATATGCATAAACATGTGTATATATATATGTGTGTGTGCTTCTGTATGTATGTACATATGAATATATATAGATCCGTATGATATTATACAATTGTTCGTGCGCTGAGCTTATGTTGAACGCTAACTTGGCCAGCTATCAATTTTTACCTAATATACCCAACCTATATATACTCTATATATATATAAATATGTAAAGCTACTCTTCTTAATCTATATATATATATTTAAATATTCTTATAATGCTTTTTCATTTCTGTTTGTTGAGTACTTCATTTTGGTTTCGAGTTTATTCTTTTTGTTTTTATTTTCATTTCTTTTTCTTCAAGTATAATTGTAAAAACGCTTTAGCGCTGCCTGCACCCGCCGACATCAAAATCCAGCTACAGCTACAGCAACAGCAACAGTAACAGCTCAAGTAACAGTAACAGTAACAGCAAGAGCTAACAGCATTATGCGCAATAACAGTAACAGTAACAGTAACAGTAACAGTAACAGTAACAGCAGCTGCAGCTACAAAAAAACTGCAGCAAACAGCTTGCAAATGAACAAATATGACAAACGAATGAAGAGTGAAAGAAAAGCGACTGCTCTGGCTTATCTGGCTATGGCTGAGGCTTTCAACGGCTCCTGCTTCTGCTCCTAAGTCCCGTTTCCCTGTGCTTCCCGATTCCGGTGCATGTGCGTTAAGTTGCTATAATTTAATAATTAGAGTCGAGCAATCGATCAATCACAATAACCAAAACAAAACCGAGCAAATCAATGCAAAATGCAGTTAAGCTAAACAAAATAGCAAAAACAATCAAACAAACGAAAGCAAAGAAGTCGAAATGAAAAACTGATATGAAACAAATCAAATGAAATAACTAAAAATACCAACCGCTCTCTAAAGTTAACTTCAACTACAACAAACAACAACACTAACAACACTTGGCGCACGCTTAGCACATTTGCATATGATACTAACACACACCCACACACTCACACACACACACATAGACAAGAACTACACTTAACGATTTTGTTGCCTAACTCCATTTAATACACTTAAATCTAACGCTTTGATTTGTGACATGATTTTATGCGCTTACCTTTTACCAAATATACTCTAATCTACTCTACTCTACTCTCTACTCTACTCTACTCTACTCTATCCTACTCTTCTCTACTCTACTCGAATGAGCATTTTCCAATTACTTGCCTAACTACTTAAATTCGCTTACCTATATATATATATTTAACTAATTATATACATATATATATAGTTATATATACTTATTTGAAGCAGCTGCTACAATTACAATCACCGAAAGATACACCTTATCCCCCGTAAAGCCCATTCACAAGTTCACGTTCACCAAACTCTTTTTGTTCCTTCCTAATTCCACACACGGCGAACAGAGCGCAACGAGCACTGTTAACGGCAACAGCAGCTCGCTGTTAACGGCAACAGCGCTGTTAAGTCTGTTCAGCTGCCTGGCACAACTCGAGCACCTACAATTTTTGTTGAAAGCACACAAGGAAATTGATCAAACAATCAGTCATTCAGTCAGTCAATCACACACACAGACCCACACACACATACACACTAACTGACTCTCTTCTATAGCCGTCTCTTCATGCCAATTACTAACTCTCTTTTCTGCAAGCGTTCGTCGCAAACCTCTGCCGAAGACACACAACTGGAAGAGCGCGTGATTGATTGATCAGTGCTCGCGCTTGAAGTGGCACTGATTGATTGCAAGCGCTACGAGTCGACGCCGGTCCGAGCTGAGTCGTTGCGGCTCAGTTCGGATTAGCTTTGGTTTAACTCTCTATCTCTCTCTCTCTCCCTCTCTCTCTCTCTAACTGTCTCTCTCTTTCTCTCTCTCTCCATCTGTCAATCTATATATATATATATGCATACATATATATAGATTTATTCATTTTTATATATGTTTGTCAAGTTTAACAGCGACGACGCCAAACGCCGGCACATTTTGTTTATTACCATTTTGGCAATACGCTTTCGATTTTTTGTTAGCCAACTCTATATCTAGCCAACTTTTTGAGTTCCATATCGTTCAAGCGGTACAATCCAAGCGCAATTTAATTAACAACAGCAATTTGCTTTCGATGTGTACATACCAATATATACCAATATATACTAATATATATATATATATATACCAATATATACAATAATCACACACTCACACACACACACTACTATAAATACCTCGAGTTAAAAGAAACACACACACACACACACATACACACGTTTTGTTTTTGGCTTTTTCTATATGTTTCGATGTACTAAAATTTTCCGTTTGAAATCTTATAACATACGAATATCGTTTCCAACAGTTCTTTATGTTCAACTTGTGTGATATCTTAATGATATAATCTAACTTTACGAACTAACAATTTCGTTTTGTTTTTAGTCGAATTCTGATTTTGATTTTTTACTTTATATATCTCTATATATTAATATATACTACCTTATTTACACACTGCGTTCTTTTTCTACGTTCTTCTTCATACCAAATCGACAACAACAAATAAAAATATATATATAAACAATAAAAACTGAATTAATAATGCCAAAAATATATAACAAACAAATAAATATATATATATATATACATACATCGATGTATATATATATATATGTATGACTGACCAAACAAAAAACATATATATTTATATATACCGAATCGAATCGAAATCAAATTTGCATATTTAAATACCGACTTTAAATATACAAAATACACGAAATATGAAAATAAATACCAAAAATCGAATACATGATATTGCCTTATGAAAATGATCTAAAAAATACGAAAACAAAAACGAAAACAAAAACAAAAAATGAAATCAAACGAATGCAAATGAAAATGCAAAAACGAAAAATGCCAAATGAAAATGCAAAATGAAAAATGATAAATGAAAAATGATTAAAACCTAATAGGCCCGTCGGCTTCTGGGGCAAAATTGTCGGCTCTTTGTGCGTGATCGCTGGTGTGCTGACAATCGCACTGCCGGTACCGGTTATCGTCAGTAATTTCAATTACTTCTATCACCGCGAAACGGATCAGGAGGAGATGCAGAGCCAAAATTTCAACCACGTTACAAGTTGTTCATATTTACCTGGTGCACTAGGTACATATATATATATAGCTACTACCATATCAAAACGTTTACCAAAAAAAAAAAAAAAGAGAAAAAAAGAAAAACTTAACTACGCCCACATGTGTTATACGACTAAAAGCAATGCTAATCGATTCCTTTTCTATATCATTCCCAATAAACGCGCCCTCTCTGATATAAATACACGCCCACACACACGCCCACACACGCCCACATACACCAACAAAAAAAATACCACTCCCGATACCAGGTCAACATTTGAAAAAATCCTCACTCTCCGAATCGTCATCGGACATTATGGATTTGGATGATGGCATTGATGCAACCACGCCAGGTCTGACTGATCATACGGGCCGCCACATGGTGCCATTTCTGAGAACGCAGCAATCGTTTGAGAAGCAACAGCTGCAGCTACAACTGCAGCAGCAGCAGCAGCAGGGACTCCAGCCGGGACAGCAGCAGCAGCAGCTCGGCCAGAACGGCCTGAGGAGCACAAACAGCTTACAGTTAAGGCATAATAACGCAATGGCCGTCAGTATTGAGACCGACGTCTGACTACTAGGTGAGTGCGAACTCTCTTTTCTCAATATTTCCATGACACTGGCTGCGACTGCAAGGTAGTATTGTTTTCAGCACTATGGCAACACAGCTTTAAGCTCGTTTCATTGTAACTGCCCCATAGATCGTTGTGCAGCTCACAGTCAAAGTTCGAAAAACCCCTCAGTATAAATAAGCTTTCAGAGCACAATAAGCTTTAAGCTTATTATCGTGTTTTGACTGCTAATTAATTGAAATGTCATTATTTACTAGATGATCGCAAGCAGCTTAAAGCGCCTTTGATTGGGACTGCCCCTATAGAGCTTTCTGCAGCGTACAGTCAACGTACCAAAATCGTTCGGTAGAAGCTTAACTTTGAACACTCAGATGTGCTTTCAGTTCACAAGAAGCCTAAACCTATTTAAATAAAACTGTCTGTTGCTTCTTTGTGAAGTTTTGACCATGCTTTTTATGGTTTTGAGTACTAGACGCTATAGATCTTTACGCAGCTTACAGTCAAGGTGAGAAAACCTTCAGTGTCTGTGTGGCTTACTACAGAAGAGCTTTCGGATCATAAATCGCTTTAAATCTAGTTTCTTCAGATCGTGAAAAGCTTAAATCTAATTTTATTGTTGTCTTCTATTTATCTTTTGTGTATTATCAAGTAAGCTTCAAGCTGATCGAAGTGTATATAAAGATTAAAGCTAACAGAAATGGTAGAAGCTGATGTAAATAAAAAAGCTTTCAGCTTACTTGGTTATAAATTCCTATTATCCTTCATGAGCTTTACGAATTAAATTGTAATTTTCGAATTGCTTTAAGCTTTTTTAGTTTTGAACACAGAACAGTGAAGTTAGACAGCTCTCTAAAGCTCTTATATCTTTAAATACTTTAAAGATTATGCCAATCATGCCAAGTAGCGCGCTCCTTTCAGATACATTAGGAATATCGCAATGTATAGCCTCAATGCAGTTGATTAGGTTCTTTTCGCATTGATTTTCGTGTTGTCGTGGAATCGCTCAGCTAATGTCATTGAAATACTCTGCAAATGGTTTATCTACTTAATTGTGTTCATCTTATGTTCGCAAACAGTCAAACAAATGGAAAACAGACGAAACTTGCGCAGTGAAATGTTACGTTGGATGCCAGAAACGTCATCAAAAGCAGTCTAATCTAGAATTTTATTAATAAATAAATATTAAAGTAACAAAAATAATTATAATTATAATTATAATAATAATTATAATAAGCAGCGTAGTTGTAAATTAAACAGCAAATTGTAAAACAGACTACACCCAAACACGCATACACACGCACACACACACACACACACACCTACACACACACACACGCACAGTCAGTGTGAGAGATACAGCAGCGGCTTGATAAAGTAGCTATATAAGTCGGATTAGCGATAGTCTTTTTTTAATAAATTCAAATTCGACAGCCACACTTACACAGCTGCTCAATGAAGACCATGACACACACACACCAACACACACACACAGAACAGATAAATGAAAAACTTAATACCTATGTTCAAATTTAGCAATTAAACAACTAACAATCGTTATAGTCAAACAAACAAAACGAAGAGGAAAATGCAAAAGAGGCAAAATAACAAAAAAAAAACAACAAAAGAAGAAAAAAAAAACAAAAACAAAATGAGAATTATCTTAGTAGTCTAATCTAATTGGAGTTTCTTCCTTTCTTTAGAAGCTAGCTAAAAAAAACAACAAAAAAAATAAATAAAAAATGATGAGAAATGGAAACAGAAGCAAGCAAAACTGACAACAAAGCAACAATACATACAAACATACAATATCTGCTAATTTTATTTTAAACTTTAAATTATGCTCTATTATTATAAATATTAGTCAAATATTAGTAAAAAAAAAAACAAAAAAAATGAAACGAAAACTATGGCAAAGCAAAACAAAAAAAAAACAAAAAAAGAGAAAACAGAAGACATATGAAGAGCGAATGCAGTTGACAACGTCCTCAATCCAACTCTGAGATTCAGTCAATACATGTTTCGCCTAATAAAACTCTAGCCATAATCAGTCGAAACTCTTCTGGCCAGAACTGCGATGGAGGAAGAACACAGCAAGTGGACGAGCAACGCTTAAGGACAGCATTGAAAGCAAAAAGAAGAAGAAATAATAAAGCGTGTTAGATATCAGAAATATATACAGAAAACTCCTCAATGGATTCAGGTTAAATAATTTAGTTAGCGCCCCAATTGGCAGTTCGTATGAACAACTAGGCAAACTGAGGGCGCAGTCGAAACGCATTCGCCTTTCAATGCACACACACACACACACACACACACAAACACACATGAAAATGCTAAAACATCAAAACTGCCGTTAAGTTTAAAATGAGTATAAAAAAGCAAAGAATTATACATATACATAGGTATATATATATATATATATATATATGAGTAAAACTATGTATACAAATATATATATATATATATATATATATATATATATATATATATATATATATATGTTTGTGTATGTATATATATACATAACAGATCTAAACTGCTATTTTGTAAATAAGTAAGTCAGAGCTGAAGCTGAACATATATATATATATATATATATATATATATATATATAAATATATATATATATATATAGAAATAGACAACAAAAAAAAAATACAAGAAATAAAACATTTACAACAAAAGAAAAGCTGCTAACGATACAAAAACAATAATTAAATTTAGCAAACTGCTACACAACAACAATAACAACAAAAACAACCACAACAACAACAACAACCACACAACACGCACACAAAACACCCTAAAAAATACCAGAGAAAACGGTAATACATGGCCGTCGATCTTCCAGCAGACTCAACTCTAGCGTCGCCTTCCCCACTCAAGAAAAAAGAAAACACAGAGAAACACAAAATAAAAATAAAGAACTAAAATGAAAAGAAAAGAAATGAAATGAAATGCTTCTAGCATAAATTTAACCAAAATTTAGGTCACAATTAGAGATTAGAAATCGCTTCAGTATCTATGCATATGTATATCCTTTATGTCTCACACACTTACGAGCCTATTATAGATCTTATCTATCTGCATTTCGTCTAACCAAAAGAAAACAAAACAGTAAAGCTGGGGAATGTCTCATTTTATGAGTTCAGAGTCTTATGTAATTTATCTTCCTTTCCAATATCGAATCGTCTATCCTTAATATATTATTTTCACGTTCAAAACTAACGACTTCAACTTTTGTCAAAAAGCTCAAAATATTGCAAAAATAAAAAGAAGAAGAAATATATTTATATTATATACGTATGTATGTATATGAAAAGAAATTTGCGGCACCTTTTATGATTCTAGTCAATATACACACAATTTTAGATATAGAATTACTTAATTTCAATTGAAACTTTTCGAGATCTTCACACATCTACTTCGTATGCTTCCATGAACTACACCGTTTCCTGTATATTTGGTAAACCAAAACAGAAAAGATAATGAACATGAAGATGAAGATGGGGAGAAGCCTTCAAGAAAATACTAACCCTAAATATACCAAGTGCGCTTTGCTTTAAACATAACCTCAAAAACGAAATGAAAAACAAAAATTACTTTCTGGACCATGATAAAAACATCTCACGACAAACGAATAGAACAAATGAAACTAAACTGAAACATACGCAAGGCATATAAATATATTTATATCATATATATATATATGTATCATATATATATATATAGTATATATATATACATATAGTTGTAGTATGTTGCGACTGAATAACAAAGTTTTTATTGATTTGCTGCTTGTTGTAAATAAGAAGAATTAAAATAAAAATATTTGTACAAAAGAAATATTTAAAAAAATAATGTAAATATGTAAAAACACAAAAAAACACTATGCGAAAAAGAAAACAGGATAATAGACAAGAGAGTAAAATAAATCAAATCAATTTACAGCTTTGAATACCGTCCACACGCACACAGTAAACGATAAAAGCAAATGCAGAGCTGATCTCTAAGGTGAGACACAGGAAAGCGCAAGAGAACGTGAGAGGCAGAGAGACAGCGAGGGAGAATTTAAATTTGAAGCGTAGCACGAATGAGAGATGAGCTGCATAAGATATAGAGAACATTTTACGTATACTTGATTTGGCCTTAAACAACTATAACAATTATATAATATACGATATGCAAAATTTAGTTATATGTGAAACAAAAGTTGAAGTATCCGTTTGGGCGCCCATTCGTGTATTTTTTGTACATTATATATTACACACATAAATATATGTAAATATATATATGTTTATATATATATATTTGATTTTGTGATTCATTTTGTGAGTTCTTTGGTTCGGTTCTTGAGGTCAAACGAATGCAGTCAAGCCAATTAATTAGTGAATGAAGAAGGAAGCAACAACAGCAACAGCAACAACAAAGAGCAATGATGATATACATATAATATGCATATAAATTATTATTAACACTAATAATATATATATTAATTATAAATATATATATACATAAATATAAAATATCGAAAATGAGATAAAGTACATTACACGTAAACCAATTGCAAACAAAAATAAAAACATATCGTCTTCAAGTCATGCAAGAAATGTTTTTTTTTTGTTTTTTACCAAGTAAATTAATGCTAGACAAGGCTTACTAAGTAGTAAAAAAAAAAAACAAAAAAACAAAACAGAAAAAGACAGAGCGAGAAAGCAAGCAAGCGAGAGCGCGAGTGAGCTAGCGAGAGCAAGTGGAAGCGAGACAAAAGAGTTTGTCTGAGCTAAAAATTGGCCGTACAGGCCAGACATAACAAAAGTGATATAAAACATACATATATAAAAGATATAAAAACAAAAAGCGGAAAAGGAAAATAAACTTGCCAAAATAATTAAGTTTAAACATAACGCAAACACCAACAGGAAAACAGAAACAAAAATACTTAAACTATGCTTCTCAATAACTGAGAAAGTGTTTAGTCTATGGCCTAGAGTATACTAAGAGTACAGCCAGCAGCAGCCGCAGCAGCAGCATAATTATATATCTTAGTTTAATAGGCAATCCTTATTATAATACTATTTATAATACTACAGCAAGAACAACAACAAAATACTAACAAAATATACTTATAATAATCATTATGAAATCTAATACTGCAACCTTCAAGCTGAGCTTTGCTATCAAGTAACAATTTCCCAAAAAAGAAAAACCAAACTACCAATAAAATACATAATGCTAACAAGATACCAAGCAAAAAATACAAAAAATACTAACTTATAAAAGAGAGATTAATCTTACCAATAAAGTTGTCAATTTGCGTTGTCTATTTTCAAATTTGGTTTAGAAATTCATTAATAAAGAAGACTGGAATACAAGCAAAAGAAAAACAAACAACACAAAAGATAAATATATATATATATATACTGAATATATATACATATATATATATATAGTTATATGTATATGTATGTGTACACACATATAATAATGAGAACAAGGTCAATACAAATACATATGCGTAGCGTTCGAAATGGCATTCGAATCATAAGCAAGAAAACTATACATACTACACACCTACACCTACACACACACACACAAACTCTCACACACCTATATATAACAGTTAATCGTGTACATACATACAGCACGTATGTATCCATGTTAAATATAACTCCAAGCCAGTTACGCCCAGATAATTTTGATAAGTATTTTATTCATTTCTCTAATTAACATCATTTTCCTTACTCTCCACAAGAAAAATTACAAAAAATAAAAGCCTAAAAACGAAACAATGAAAATGAAACAAATATTTAGCTCAATAACTTAAAGTCCAAAGGAACTATTTCGGCTGGCCGAATTGTAAATATCCTTCCAGATGTGTCCAAATGCAAATTCTTATTTCAATTGCATTTCTTTTTTTTATACGCTGAAAAATTTGGAATTGGAAAATATGATGTGTTTCGATTCCATTTATTCCAATTCATTTTGTTAAATTGTCATTGTCATAATGGAACTATCTGAAACTATATAATTTAACAATATATCTTACTAAGATTTAATGTGTTCCGTTTCCACTTGTTCCAATCCAATACGTTAAGTTGATATAATGATATTATGAAAAGTCTATGAATTCCCAATGCAATTTAACTCGTATCTCAGCTTGTTTAATTATGTGTTTCAATTCCACTTGTTTCCACTTCTTGTTCGATAATTTAAAAACTTGTCAATTGCATAATGCAATGCAGTTTTTATAATTACCAATTTAAATTAACTAGTGCTCCGATTCCATTCGTTCCAATCTCATAGAATGTCTGTTAAATTATGGATTACAATCTGCAAGGGTATACGAACTTATGATAATTATGCGTAGTTATATTATGATCTAAATACACACACACACACACACATACATACAGAAAAGTATTAGAACACGTGCAAATTCAATTTTGTTTCAAGCGTCAGCAACAGCCAATTTTTTTTAATAGTTATAAAAGAATAAATAAAACCCAAAACAGAAATCAAGTAATATATATACATGTATATATACATATATATACGTATATATGTATACGTATAGGAAAAAGAAAACAGCGCAAAAGGAAAATTGCGAAACTATCGCAAAGAAGAAAATGAAAATCCATGTAAATTATGCGTACCACAATAAAATATAAATAAATAAATAACAAAAAATTTATATATATATATATATTTATAATATATATATATATGTAATAAAAATAAATACGCCGCAGCAATTATAAAAATAAAAACAAAAAACAAAAAAAAAAGAAAGCAAGAATAAAAAACGTTGTTAAGATTCTAAAAGTGAAATGTTTTATAAATAGTTAAACCAAAACAGAAAAGCGAAACAAAAAAATTATTATATATTAAATATGAAGAAAACAAAAAACTAAGATACAAACAGACACAGAAACAACAACAAACACAAAGAACAATAAGCAACAGCGATACACACACCCCACACACACCAAACACACACACACACACACACACAATAATACTAAATGAGCAAGCACAAAATTTACCGTTTGACTTTCAATAAGATAACAAATCTGAAAACATTTTTACAAGCCATGTTAAATTTGTAAGCTAATTGGAAACTGAAAGCAGCTTAGAAATGACAAATGTTAGGTAAATGTTAAACATTCAAAGTAATAAACGGCATCAGTTGAGAAGGCAGATTCAATCTAAGTACAATACTCACACACACACACACACACACACACACACACACACACACACAGACAGAAGCAGACACACGTTACTTTACGAACATAAAAGCAAATTAAATGAAAAAGTATATAAAAATAAATTATGCTAAAGAGAACAACTTACAAAAATACAACTAAAAATGCAAGAAATGAAGTTTTATTTGCCAGGACTATAAAAATGGAGCTGTGACAAAGCAAATGGACTGAGTCAAGGCGTTACAGAGGGGATTTCCCATCCCAAAGGGGCCTCCCATTAACAGCAACAGTCGCCCAATGAGTAATAAAAATATTAGAATTTGGTTAAGTGAAGCAGCCTGTGCCACGTATGCTGGTATTCAATTCAAAGCTAAATTATAATAATTATGAATCAGGCAAATGTCGAATTAAGCTGTAAGCCCAAGCTCCAGAACTACACATCCAGCTCCAACGGAAATGTAAGAGCAAGATTCAAAGGATTGAAGCACGCTTTTTGGTCGAAAGTTCAAGCGATTCGGAGTGTTAAAGCAACTGTCCCAATTCTGTCAATTTATATATCGATCTAGTCCATATGTCCTCGACACATAATGTCAAGGGTTAAATTAAAATTGTTTACAAAATGTTGCTCCCATCTGTCCTTAACTCCAAGATTATCAGATTATCGAAAACTTTACCTTTTCGTATTCGTCATCATTCGAGGAAACTTGTTGCTAGCTGCTAGAGGGAGAGATTTCTATATTGAATCATAACATCTCTTAAAGAATCCTGATGCTTGAACGCGACATTCCTTATTTAAGGAGTGACCAACACTCTCAGTTCCTTTCAGATATTCTAACAACTTTCCAGCTGTCGAACAAATTTATTTTTCGCCATGGCCAATTCTATAAATTGGGAATTTGTTTTGAGCACTTTAAAATGTGTACTTCTAAAAGCTAAATATGTACATGAAAGTGCAGATGACGCAGTCAAAAAGCAAGCTAAGTTATCAAATTTGTGACAATTAACACTTTTTGCCTTTAGCATCACTTGCTCGGAGCCTTTTATCGTAGCGCAGAGGTCGAGCGCGTTTTCAGGCAAATGAAGATCGTTAATTTTTGAATTAAGAAATAAATTGCATCTTGACACTGTGAACTCCATTATTTTAATAAGGTAATATACAAAAATGTGAGTTTATTTTTTGTTTATAAATGTAACTTTATATAATAATCATTTTTATATTTATAGATATGGAGTGCTGCCGATGATGAGCCCGTAAACTACCTGAAATGCATAGAAACAAACCAGGAGTGGAAAGTTCATGAAAAGAAAAAGTTCTTGAAGTCATAAGAGCTTTTTTCTAGCTCTTTAAAATTTACCTTTAGCATTAGCTAGCCTCTATAACTAGTAAGTTCTCCTTGTCGAGACTGCTCGACTAGGAGATACCCTGAAGTCTGCGTAGAGCTGACTCAGCTAGTTGTCCTGTCGCACCTTCTTCGCTTTCCGAAAAATTCCCAATTTCTATGAGCCATAAAAAGCATCGAAATTTTAGAAAGCTGAATTCATTAAAAGTTAGCCCTAGACAGACATTAACTCGATGCAAGCCAGCATAATTTGACCAGGCATTTGAGGCGTCAGCTAAATGAGCTCATATATATATAAAGAATATATAAAGAATCAAAGAATCGCGCAAAAAGATATTCCAATTTGGATTTAGGAAGTCGTGTTTGGGAATGTATTTGCAGGCTAATCTAGTGATTTATGCTTAGCATGCTAATAATTTATTTAATTGCTCACATTATAAACTTATTAGGTAAACTTAAGGCGTAGGGAACTCAGTGGACGCAGTTCCAATCAAATTCCGATTTAACGTTTATTTACAGTGCAAGGTGAAGTTTTTTGGTTCGACGAGCCAAGGACCAACCCAAGTGCGCTTGGGCTTCGGCCTTTTAGGCCAGGACAGACAGATTTCACTCGACCAAACGCTGAGCAGACGCCCCACTCGGCTTATCCATATCACATAGTGTTTATATTTATAGCTGTTCTCCCGCCGCGGCACCCTGCTCATCTCAGGGATTCAGCTGGACGCGTGCTCGTCGCACGGCCTTTGCCGTAGTAGCCACTGGCGGCCGATACGTGGGCAGCTCTATGAAAACGGGGCGATACTCGGGCGCCTCGGGGCGCATGGCGCGGGACTCGCTGTGCAGCATATTCGTGTAATAGTTAAAGTCCCGCTGCTGCGTTTCGCTGCTGGCCATTGGAGCTGCCGACGTGATAGGCTGCTGGGCGGCACGACCACGCGCCGCATCTGAGCGCAGCAGCCGAAACAGATTGCGACGCGCCGCCTGATCTGTGGCCTCTGCGGACTCGGAGCTGCGGCGCTGCTGGCTGCTGCTCTTGTTGATGAATGCTGCCTCCTCGTAGCGCGGTATGTAGCGTGGCTTGCGGGACTCGCCGGCTCGCTCGTGCGGCGTCACATTGAAGCCAAAGAAACGCGGCGCCTGCACAGAGATGAGCGGCAGCAGCGTCTCTCGGGCGTACCGCTCGGCCCGTTGCAGCAGTTCGCCGAGACGGAAGGGCAGCAGCTGTACCGTTTGCGGCTCCTCCGAGCCGCTCGAGAGTTGTGCCATCATTTTGGGCGCCGTGGCAACAGCTGGACTGGCCGAACTGGTGGGACTGACTGCGCTGTCCGTTGAGCTGGCTGTGGCATTGCTATCCTCGGGCTCAGCCAGCTGCAGACCCTTGCCATGCTTGCTACGCGGCGTGGTTGCCTTGAGCACCGGTTCGACAATTTCCCCGGCATTGGCATGTAGTTCATGTAGATTGCGCCCACGATTCACGGCCAGCCGTCGGTCCTTGAGAACGGGCTCGAAAATCTCATCAGCGGGCTGCTGTCCGGGCGCTAGGGCGTCCGACAGACTGCGACTCGACTCGGCTGCCTCGGCCTCATTGTTGTCCTTGTCCAGGGAATTGCCGACGAGTATGGGCTGCCAGGGCAGCTCATCCGTCTGGTCCAGCGGATAGGTTTGATTTTCAGCCAGCTTGAAGCTGGTGCCCAGATTAAAGATATCCTTGCGCTGCTTGACGCTCTCGACTCCATCGACGCTGGCACTCAGGCCCGACTCCTGCACGCTGGAGTCCGCCACAGGGGCATCCGTGCTGGCCGACAACGAGGCAGGCGGCTGGGTGGTGGTATAGGCGCCATAGTCATCCTGGTTGTCCAGCTCACAGTTGCCCGCCTGGAGGGGCATGCGAACGGGACTGCCGCTGCTCAGCTTGGTGCTGGGGCGGCACAGCGAATGGCTGCGTCCAAAACTGTCCGTCAGCACCACCTTGTCAATGTCCCAGTGGGGCAGGCCCTTCGACAGCCAGCCGCTATAGGACTTGTAGTGCAGGCTGAGCGTGGTGGGAAAGCCCAGAGCCGGATGCGGCACAATTATCTTCGATACAATGTCGCCAGCAAAAAACTCGGCATCGTCCTTTCTGCAAGTGCAACAATTGATGAGGGTCTAATAAATGATAGTGTGAGAGCTAGGGCGGGCACTCACTCGGATATTTCGAAAGTCTCGTTAAGGCCGCCATCGCCCTCGAGTATGGCCTCCAAGCGGCCGATCGTGCGCAGCGGCAGATCGTTGAACGAGTTAAAGATCTGCAACTGGAATTGGTGCGCACAGAAGGGCTCCTCCTCGCGTGTCAACAGATAAAGCTGGCCACGGCCCGTCGATCTGTCCGCATAGTAGCCCATGTTGCCGCAGCGTGGCACGCCCTCAGCCAGATCCTCATCGTCCTGGGCGCACGGAAAGCACTTGCCCTTCAGAAAGTCATCGTAGCTGGCACAGGGGAAGGCGGGAAACATGCAGCGTGGCGCCACCGAATCGATAAAGAACTTGTAAGCGCGTCGATGATTACAGAGCGAACGTCCCTCCTCATCCTCGGCCGCCTGGGCAGCTGTAAAGGAAAACAAACTTGAGCCAAACTCAACTGAACTAGGCATCGAGCCACTTACACCAAATGAAGTCCGTGACTGCGCCCACAAACAGATTGGAGCAGCCCGTCTGCACACGCCCTCCATTTGGATAGTAGTCCACGTGGCCCATGGGCTGCCAGGAGCCGAGGCCGCCCAGAATAAGATTCTCGCCATTCGAGTGTATAACGTCGACGAACTCCGCATCGCTGCTGTCCAGACGAACCTTCGGATGCTGCGCCTCGAACAGCGGCCCGGCCGGATCTAGGCCAGTGATACGCGACAAGCCGGGCAGCTCGGCGCCCGCAAACCCAGAAACATGCGCACCAAGGCTAAAGCCAATCACATGAGTGCGCATCAGATTGAGACCCTTGTGCTGCTGCAGATGCCGCAGCAGCATTGCCAACTGCTTGCCCACCAGACGCGTGTTCGCCGCGGCACGCACGTAGTTCGGAAAGGTAGCGCCGTTCTCCCAGTCCACGCAAATTACAATGCAGTCCTCCTGTTAGAGATGAAGATAAATATGGGCTGCTTAGTAGGATCTACAACTGTTGGGTATCTTGGCTAGAGCCCAGTGGGAGCTGGAAATTGATTTACATTGCCCCCATTTCATTTGTAGAGCCAACAGCGCACAGATCCATTCAAATTCAAAGTGACTCATTCGAGTTGACTTCATTGTAAACTACATGTTAAATAAATCAAAAGCTGTCATTAAGTTTGCCAGGAAGAAATAAGCTATCATCAGCTTGGAACACATTTCTCTAATGATTTTCATATTCTTTACACCTACTAGATAAACTCGCCTACTTCCTCAAGTTTATTTACAAGTTAGTTGCAAACTTCATGTTAGCTGTGTTCCCAGCACAAACTGACTTGCTTAGCTATAATGAATCTTAGTCTAGTCCCCATTTCGACTTACCACAGCCATCAGCGCTGTTTTCATCTCGTAGATCCAGACGTGCGGACAGGCGGAACCGAAGCCGTGCACGATTACGCGCACGGAGAGCTCATCGAAGCCCTCGAGGTCATCTATGGAAGGCTGTGGCTGCTTCTTCGGACTGCTGCCTATGCCCATCGGCTTCTCCGTGCTCATGTTCAAGCCAGGCATAGACGCTGTGCCCGCTGGGGCGCTGGTTGTGACCGTTGGCGCTGGCGGACTCTCGGACTCGCGTTTGGCCTTGGCCTTGGCAAACGCCGCCGTCATGTTGAGGAAGGACAGCTCCATGAGCGGTCGATCTGAGCGCTGACGCGTCGAGTAGAAGTAAAACTTGGTATTTATCTCCTCGGGCGAAGAGGGCAGCATCTCCAGATACGCGAATGGACCCGAGTCCTCAAAGCAGCCCAGCTCACCATAGCAAACGCGCTTCACCGCCCGCTTGGCTCGGCCATGCAGCGATTGGCGCTGCTGTTGCACTTGCTCGTGCGCCAACAGCGAGGCATGCACCGCCTCTGAGAGCTCCGTAAAGTTGGCATAAGCTAATGATGAGGGCGTGCTCGCTGCAAGCAGACAAACAGATGAGCAATCGAATTGTTGAGTTTGAATTGCTCATGAATCACTCTTAATGGATCCCAAAAACGAGATTTTGCATGCATCGCACGTGCGCCCAAAAACCCATTCACAACACACAGCCAATAGAAATAACTATCGACTCGCACTACACCGAATATAATGGACTCTATTAAGAAACTGGGAAGCAGATGTTCGCTACTGTTGACGCCAACAAGCTAACTCTGAACTTATTCCGAACTAAGTATTACTGCTTAACTAAAAACTTGCGACTGCACAATACTCCTTCACAATTGAGACTTATTCACAAATCAGGCGGACACATAATAGGTCCATCCATGGAGAATGTCGCCTGTAATCCACTTGCAAAATTAGTCAAACAGATCTAAAGCTGAGGAAGAAATTAATTTTTTCCATTTGCCACACGACTTCTAACTGTCGATATCTATATAAATTTTTAATCAATCTTAAGATGAGTAAAAGACGTAGACCATAATCAAATGTTCAGCTTCAGTTGTAAAATTATAGGTTTTCAACTCGCCACTTCGTGTACGAGCATAAATACAAAGATATATGAAGAAAACCTTTAAAGTGCATGAGAATTGCATAGAAAGGCGGGAAGAAAATAGAGCAAGTTACCTTAACCAAGGCTATAGGAATATGGAGGCAGTAGGAAAACGAAGAAGTAGAACAGGAAAAATAAAAGTGGAAAGCCAAAGAATGGCCAATCCTCAATATGCTTAGCGAGTTAGAGATAATGTAAGAAAGTTACGAGACATGTTTATGCATCTTCTTATTTTTGATTAAAATAATTACTAAATACAGAAATATGATAAGTACGAAAGCCCCCATAAAAAGTTGTCACAAATGAGTTAATAATCTGTAAGTTCTAATTTTACTAAGCTTTAAGTAAACTTAAAAATAGATGAAATTTGTCATTTCGATTGTCAAAAGCCATAAATAATAAAAAATAATAAAAAAAAAAAATAATTTAAAAAGAGTAAACAGAAATGATTGGAATTTATTTAATGACAGACGTGAAAATCGTTTTCATATTTCGTTTTCAGACACTGCGCCATAATTGGGAACATGCGGATGACATAACCCCGGCACAAGTCATCCAATACACACAGCGTCACATAGGCGTATGAATATGGCTGTTAGCTGAAAGCGCTGATAAATTACCGAAGCGTGATTGCGTTCCTAAAGCGCCCGACAGCCAAAAGGGAGAAGCGTCTAAGAGAAGCAACAAATCAAAAACGAAAAAACTGTCCACGCCTCGACTCAGGCCACACGCGACGCCAAATGCCAATAAATATGCATATGAGAGTCGTTTGATTATGGGCCAGGCGATCGAGAATCACCACAAACTGATGGACTGTAAAGGAGCTTCCAGATTCGGCAATCAGGAAGAGATTGAATGAGCGGGTCTGTAGAGGGGGCAAACTTTATAGACTAAATATTTCGTATATCAACGATCTATCGAACGACGATTCTTCATTATCCAAATCATTAGCTGTGGCCAACGCACTGGCCCAGCTACATTAACGCTAAGCGCACTTCATCAACCAAATGCATCCAAGTTTTTCAACAACAATGGCAAAGCACTTTACGCTCATGTCCCATGCGACAGGTGCTTTAAAATAATCGTTGCAACATTTTTCGCACTTACAAGCGGAACTTATGGCCCGGCGCAAAAAGTAATTAGGCGAAGTGATGACAGAGCTGAGACAACGGTAGAGATAGAAATGGAGCTACGAGTAGAGATAGAGATAGAGATAGAGATACAGATAAAGATGGAAGCAGGAGTAGGGAAAGGGATCAGGAGAGCGATAGACATAGATATCTCCAGGTATAAATAGAAGAATGGATAGAGATAGAAATAAGACGCGGTATATGGATAAGCGTATAGACAGAGAAAGACATAGGGATAAACGGGACTATGGATATGGATAAACACAGTAGTGGGGATAAGCAGCTTGAAAGGGATAAGTAAGAATAGTTTAAGAAATGGAGATAGAAATAGCAATTGAGATAGGGATTGGAATAAGGCTTGGGATAGGACTGAGTATAGAAATTGACTTAGGGCTGAGCATGGGAATTGGGATGAGAATAAGCATAAGGCTTTGCCAAGTCCTATGCCAATGCCAATGGAATAGGAAGTGGCAAAGGGCTGAGGATACAGATTGGGATACAAAAGAGAATATGTGGAATGGCGTAGAAAATGAGAGTGATAGGAATAGGAATAGGATAGAATAAGGATAGGACCTTAAATAGTTGGCTACATTTTTCAAATACAATTACTGGGGGCGTAAGCATATGGATACAGATACAAATACAGATACATATACGGATACAGATGCATACATGGAGGCTATCTTAAATATGTTTGTCTTAATATTAAGAAAATATAAAGTCCAAAAAATCTATGAAATTCACATATAAACATATCTAAATGGATGTATATATACATATATAATATACACCTGTATATATATATAAATATATATCTATATATACATCTATATATATAGTGTTTCAGGTGCGCTTTGTGACTTTCGTTGTTTTTCGATTTGTTTTCATTTGCCATTTAAAGCTTTGTCAGTTTTTGGCATTGCAATCGCTTCTTCGTCTTGTTGACTGTTTCCGATTACATGTGTACACACTTTGCGAGTTTGCGTGTGTGTGTGTGTGTGTGTGTCTGAGTGTGTTGTATTTATGGCGATTGTGCAATCTGTGAAGTGTTTTGCGCGTCGCTCAATGGCAAAAATCGTCAAGTGAAACTCGTCGGGGGCCAAATGAATTGAAAGACACCCACAGAGAGGCACACTAGATGCGTACTCCGCCCAAAAAGCTCGCCCGCTGGCCTTCAAGGGGGTTGGCGGTGGGAGCGCTGCCTTCATGCGAGATAAGTTGCAAAGCTGAAAGCAGCCTCCATGAAAGTAAATTCAATTTAGCACACAATATATCAATTAGCAGAAGAGCTATGCGTGTGCGTGTCTGTGTGTGTGTGTGTGTGTGTGTCTAGTTCAATTAGTTAATGGATCTGGCGTCTACTTACCGCTTGTTCCAGTGTCTAGCAGCAGCAGCAGCGACAGCGCTAGGCAAATGTGTTGCATGTTGCCGTTGTTGTGGTTGCAATTGTTGCTGATGCTAAAGATTATCCAATAACGTGTGCACAGTGTCAATTAGCATCGAGAGCTCTGGATGAACCACACACTCCGCTAGTTCCCTATCCCTCTCCCTCTCCCTCTCTCACTCTCGCTCTGTAGTTTAGTTTTTGTTTTGTGTATGCCAACTACAATTGCATTGCTCGTGTTGCTTTTGTGTTGGTCTATGATTTCGGCTGCTGGCGCTTCTTCTGCTTCGTTGGGGCTTATGTTTTTTTCGGTGTTATGTCTCTTTCGCTTTGGTAATAGCAATACAACATAAACAAATTCACTTTCACTTATTTGTGAACCTGCCAACAGCAGCGGCAGCAGCAGCAAGCGCAGTCGCAGCAGCAACTGTTGCTGCGGTCGTGACTAGTTGCTGGTCGCTGGCGACTGGTTCCTGGCCACGGCCAATGGTGTCTGCAGCGTCGGCGTCTGCGTCTCTCTGACTCACTGACTGACTGACTGGGCAGCAGTTGCAGATGTTGCTGTTGTTGTGAACTGTTGCCGCGTCGTGTTGCTGGCGGGCTTGGGGGAGTGCGTGGCCGCTCTATGAACCACGTCTGGGGCGTCGGTGGCGATGGCGTTGACTTTGCTGCTTGATTGAATTATGCGGCAGACGCAACAGCAACAACAGCATGCGACAGCACCAACAATTGCTGTTGTTGTCGCAGCTTTCACTTGACCAACAGCAGCAACTCCAATTTGCGACAGTGGCTCACGCTGTGATTGATGCTGATTGCCGCTGATTGATTGTTTATGAGCTTTGCTTTGTGTGGCCTGCAATTACAGGAAGCAACAACAATTATCAATTGCATGTTTAGCGAAATAAGTGTTGCAGTTGCTGCAGCTATTGTTGTTGCCGCTGTCGTCGTCTAGCTGTCTGCATATTGTATAATAAGCCGGTTCGCTGACAGGATGTGCGCTAAGCGTTTTGGGCCAATGACCCAGCTTGACGTCAGCTTCACTGATTCTCTGGCTAACCAACTGACACTAGCAGCAGCAACAACAACAAAACAAACAATAAAAGTAACTCTATAGCTAAAAGTCAAACATTGCTAACAAGCACACACAGATAGTACACTATGCTACAAAATAGCATATACAAAAAAATATTATCGACTATGTATGTCTCTCTCTCCCCACATCTCTAGCTATCTCTTTACCTCTCTCACTCTCTCTCTCTCTCTCTCTCTCTCACTCTCCCTCACTCTCCCTCTCTCACTCTCTCTCTCTCTCACTCTCTCTCTCTCTCTCTCTCTCTCTCTCTCTCTATGTTCTATACTCGTATCATCCACAGGTTCATGTTAACCTCATGTTAACTCATAATGTCAAGTTCTTCTTTTTCTTATGAGTGTAAAGATCCGTTATGTGTGGCAAGTCCAAGTCTCAGCTGGCAGTTAGTAATTACCAAAAAGTTCAATCAAACAAATCTAAGTGGCAGCATTTGGTTAGCAAAGGTGTGGCAACGCCTTGTCTATGAATGTGTGGCAACACTTCAAGTACAGTTGCGTCACTTTGCCTAGTCTTTAACAATTTCATATATAATTGACAGCAGTTTTGAAGATCTAGAAGTGCAACTAGATCGCAACCCGACTCATCACTCTTGAAATCTCGTAAAGCTCAGAGTCATGCAGACTATTTGATAGCTTTGATTGTAAGATTTCATAACTGACCTTATATACGATCAACATTTATTTGCAAATTTAATTTTTATAATCTTTATTTCATATAAGAAAAGTTGAATAGATTTTATTATTTTGTTGTCCAGTGTAATTCAGTATTAAACGTTGAACATTGGAAGTTGAATGTGCACATTTGGGTCAACAGCAGACGGCAGTCGAAACATAAAAAACCAACAACACCAAGTCAAAAAAAAAAACACCTCAGAAAATCAACTCTTGTCATCAAGTTTTTTATATTTAGTTTTTTTTTGCCGTCGAGTTTGTTTTTTTGTCTATAGCTAATTTTCAAAGAAGAAACTTGACATGAGTCAACTATGCTGGAGACTGTGACCGAAACTGGGTGCCATCTAACGAAAGTGAAAAGCTTGAAGAGCCGTAAAAAGCAGCAGCCGAGAGCAGCAGAGATGATAGCACCAAGCCGAAATATTGGGAGCAGCAACATTGAAACTGTATTTTGATTGATTTATTGATCTACTGACGGAGCTTCACTTTCATTGGAGCTGTGACTTTTCAATTAGCATCCATGGCGAAACATTAGGCAAGCCCCGCAAATGTTGTCCCACTCAAGCAAAGAAACGAAGCATTTGCTAACTCAATTTACAACTCAAGCGCTGTGAACTTGAGTTTACGTAGCTTACGTTTAACTTGGTCAAAAAGAAGTCCAAGTCCCTCAATGCAATATGCCATATGTCAGATTTGCAAGCGAGCAAAGGCAATACCTGTCGCCTCTAGTAGAGCTAGCTTAGATCCTAACAGTTGAGTCTTAAGCAATAATATAAAAGCAGATGAAACTCTCTGTTAGCTTATAGAAATTTCTGTCTTCATAGCGCACTAAATGTTAAATGAAAGTTAACATTATGTTGTTAACATACGCTGTTATTGATGTTAGAGACTAGCTTTGCATAGCATTCAAATAAGAGAAATAAACAGACTCCAAGCAAATTGCCAACAGCTCTAATCTAAGTTCGCTCATATTGCATCGTTTTATTGTCTTATCAGTGGCTTTACATAGCTATTAAGAGTTTAGCAAAGCATCAATCAATCTATATGGAGTCTAAAACTGATTAAGACAGACTCCATGCAGCTAAATTGCTGCATGTTGCATAGTTTTATTGGCTTAACAGTGACGTTATACAGCTATTTAGATGTTAGCATAACATCAATCAATCAATCAAAACATCACCAAGTCCAGCAGTTTCAAGCAGTGCATTTCTGAGCTGTTAACAAGCCAAAGCTGATATGAAATAGATCGTAAAACACTAATTGGTCAGATGTTAATCATGAAATGTTAATAGCTTGTCACATGGCTTAGACAATGGCAATGGAATTAAATCGACTTAGCTCTAATGAAATCTTAAAATAACTGTTAATGCTCGCTGACTTGTCTGAGTTGCATGGATTGCGAAGCTTTTGAAGTTCATTCACAGTGGAGACAATCGCGATTGTTTGACGGATACATCAATCAATGGCAAGACTTGTGGCCACCCACAAGACGCCGTCGAAGCGTTAAGAGCGCAACCAAAGGGATCAAAAGAAAGAGAAAGAGAGAGAGAGATCGACGCATTTGACGCGCTGGGAAAGCTCAAGCTACAGACAAGACAAACGGGCAAAATGGAAAGTATCTGACTATAATGCTTCTAAAGCGGCTTTCGCACGACTTCTACTTAAGATGTCTTTCTCAGCCTCTGCCTATCTGTCAGTTGGTCCACTCGTCAGTCACTTTCAAATAGAGATTAACCCAATTTGGGTGCCGCGTCCGCTTTCAAGCACTGCCAACTGCCA